TTTGTGTAACATACGTGATTGTAAGCTGTTATTTAAAAAAAAGTCCCGCTGGGTTTCTTGCTGGTTCTTCCCAGGACAGAGGTTTTTTTTTCGAACCAGTGGTAATTATACAAAAGAGTGACTTTCAATAAGTATTATTTATAATCTATATTGAATAAAAAACTTTTCTGTTTCAACGGGTCGGCTCGACCTGGGCAGGATCACGCTAGGGATGGGCAAGGGAAAAATATATCGTTATATATCGAATCGATAGTTATAATATTATAATGTGTTATAATGATAGTCGTAATGTTACTGTTGGTTTAATAATTTCACCTCTCAATGGATCATGTGCTCCTGGTAGATTATCTTCTATACATCCATCCATTACAGCCTATTCATAAGCCTAAAGTTCACTACTGAACACGGGCCTCCCCCATAGATTGCCTCATAGGGGAGTTATTTGCCATAGTTGTAATGTTACTGTTGGTTTAATAATTTCACCTCAGTGGGTCATGTGCTCCTGGTAGATTAATTTCTATACATCCATCCATTACAGCCTATTAAAGTTCACTACTGAATACAGGCCTCCCCCATAGATTGCCTCATAGGGGAGTTATTTGCCATAGTTGTAATGTTACTGTTGGTTTAATAATTTCACCTCAGTGGGTCATGTGCTCCTGGTAGATTAATTTCTATACATCCATCCATTACAGCCTATTAAAGTTCACTACTGAATACAGGCCTCCCCCATAGATTGCCTCATAGGGGAGTTCTTTGCCATAGTTGTAATGTTACTGTTGGTTTAATAATTTCACCTCAGTGGGTCATGTGCTCCTGGTAGATTATCTTCTATACATCCATCCATTACAGCCTATTAAAGTTCACTACTGAATACAGGCCTCCCCCATAGATTGCCTCATAGGGGAGTTATTTGCCATAGTTGTAATGTTACTGTTGGTTTAATAATTTCACCTCAGTGGGTCATGTGCTCCTGGTAGATTAATTTCTATACATCCATCCATTACAGCCTATTAAAGTTCACTACTGAATACAGGCCTCCCCCATAGATTGCCTCATAGGGGAGTTCTTTGCCATAGTTGTAATGTTACTGTTGGTTTAATAATTTCACCTCAGTGGGTCATGTGCTCCTGGTAGATTATCTTCTATACATCCATCCATTACAGCCTATTAAAGTTCACTACTGAATACAGGCCTCCCCCATAGATTGCCTCATAGGGGAGTTATTTGCCATAGTTGTAATGTTACTGTTGATTTAATAATTTCACCTCTCAGTGGGTCATGTGCTTCTTGTAGATTAACTTCTATACATACATACATACATAGACAATCACAGTTTTTTTATTTTTTAGCTATTTGCATTGCTGTTTCTGTCTTGCCACACTTGGCAAGCGGGTTGGCAACTGCGTTTTTTATTATTAGTTGTTATTACAAAGTCGCTGCTGCCCATCTCCTGATTTGTTCCCTCTGTCGCGTCTTACGACACCCACGGGATGATATGAGCTAGTGGATGTTCTTACACCGCCACTACACGGTACACTTCTCTGGACTGGTTTGAACGTATTGTCCATTGTCCAGGGTCTGCTCCGTGGTCACCCAGGAGATGGACAACTACGAGCCCTGCATCTACACCAAGAGGGTCCTGGAAGCCGTCACCGTGCTCAGAGACCAAGGTAAGTGCATTGTTATTGACTGCTTCTCAGAAGTGAAGAGAATATGACAGAAGATTGTTGTAGTGAAATCGTCTTTAGAATTGTTGTGATTTGAAACTCAATGTAACGAAGAAGAAACAAACATACATCTATGGGATTTAACCTGCGGGAGAATAGGGATAGAATACGGCGTTTCCTATTATATCTGTCTCATTTTCTGAAGGTTTTCGATCTACCGCGTGTGAACTGCACACATGTTTTTTTTACTTATGAGGGTTAATAACGTTCCGATCACCAGATGTCGCTAGTTGGAACTGAGGTGAATTTATTTGTTACACAGTGTCAGCATACGTGAAAAGATGCGTTTCAAAGAAAAGTTTTTCAGTTTCTTGGTACATACATATCTATATACACAAAACATTTCCTCAGTGATTGCTCTTTATTTTGTTGCACATTTTTTAACTCTCATTTTAATTCTTTAATTTTAGGAATATCCTTTCTTTGGTTTAATCCGTGGCGCAGTGGCTTAGCAATGAATTGTTACGCTGGGGGGCGCGGGTTCGAATCCCGCACGGAACAAGTATTTGTATGGCCTACAAATAATTGTTCCTGGTCTGGATGTTTGTCCTCGTGCAATTTATGTTTGTAAACTGCCTCCACGACACAGGAGAAAATCCTAGTGTGGGGGTAACGTTTTTTAAAAAAAAAATAAAAAAAAAATCATTTTAATCTAATTAATATATAATTAATTAGGACAAAAATAAAAAACAAACAGGGACAAATACCTCACGAATGTTACGGCTTTATTTGTTGGTTACTGCTTACTTAAATTAAGTAATAATTATCTCTACAGTTGTCTCTTACTATCGTCAATTACTGAAAAGAGCGAGAGCAAATTTAGGCATTTCTTCGATTGTGGTTGATTCTTTGAGTGCGGTATGGACAAATATAAAATAATGTAATAAACTTGTCTCTTTTCTACTGTCATCAAGTTAAAAAGAGAGGGGAGCTTTAGGCATTTCTTAAATTGACGTTGTTTTTGTTTTTGTAAGGTAAGGTTTACAAAGTTTTTAGTACTTACATCACTTTCTTCTATTTATAAATGCTAAATGAAATGTACGTATGGAAAAATATGAAATTATGTAATAAAAATGGACTGTCTCCTGTAGAACGGCTCGAAGTGATAGACTAGAGCAGGGGTCGGCAAAAAGTTTTAGGTAGGGTCCGGATACTGTGGGAAAATTTTAACAAGGTCCAGAAAGAAACTACACCGACGGTCTTGAGCCAGTTTTTATAGTTTGGTTCTCGAGAGGAAGCAGCAAATTCGAAGAGTGTCTTCTAGGTGAGCGTCCGTTAATCTCGAGCGATATTTGTTTTTCAATAAATTCATCTTTGAGAAAGATGTTTCCCATGCGTATGTCGAACCAAAGATATTGACTAAATTTATAGCTAGTTTCTTGCAATTTTCATATTTTTCTGGGACATGTTTAGTCCAAAATTCTTCAGTGGATACCGTTTTATACATTTGCAAAGACACATCTTCTTGCAAATCAAAAGCTCCATTTGAAGTGATGGCTTTGACAGATTAAACAACTTGGCAGCCACATCTGTCCATTCTGCCGCTACATCAACTTCAAATGGCGATTTAAGAAACGGACATAGCTTGCCCACCTCTACAAAGTCTTGGAATTTTGTAGCAAATTTGTTTCTAAGATCGGCCAGAAAGAACATCGGTCACGGTCATGCTGTGACCTGGCTATAAAATATCGCGAACATGACTAGTGTATGGATTAATCCGTTCCCCCTGGGCACAATCTAAGTCCTAAATTGAAAATATATTATTTAAAAGCCGAGAATCATAGAACGTCACACTTATGTATTTCGTCACTTTTGAGGTTATGATGTAGCCATTACTACAATCTCAGCTTAAACAATTGATACGAAAACTATGCAGTAATATATACTTAACTAAATAAGTCAAGTCAATGGCTGAAACCACAAAAATGAATCAATAACCTTTCTAATCTTTTCACTGCTAAGTATCTAAGACACAGGTGCTTTGACTTTTGCTGACGTTTTGACAGCTCCCGTGTCATAATACTACCGAATAGAAACACTCATAATACGGTCCGTTCTAAGTATTAGTGCATTCTATATTTACTGTTAACCTATCATTTGCAACTTATTTCGGAATACTTTCCATATCTAAAAATGATATTATTGATAATACACTACAAAAATAAATAAGAAATCGACAGTAAAATCTAGTATTTAAAAAAAGTAAACAAATAATGGTAGTGTTATCATATTTTGGTCAGGTATTTGACCGATGTTCTTTACAAACACTGTAATGTCTTCTTCAGAGTTCTTGAGAGTCTTGTTCCGCGGTTCGCGCTGCGACTGACCGACTGGCAGTCTGCTTTGCCCGCCTCGCCCACAATTCTCCCGGGACCCGAATTTGATACTCGCTCGCGCTTGTTTCAATGCCTCCTCTATGCCTCCTCTACACTACCCGCGAAGTAACTTTGACGAAGTGCTCGTCGAAGTCACGCACGTCACACTCGTGCTATTTCGCGAAGAGCTCAGTCATCTTGAATCCGCTTACTTGTTCCGTGCGGGATTCGAACCCGCGGCCCCCAGCGCAACAACTCATTGTTAAGCCACTGCGCCACGGAGCTGTCGATTTTTTTTAAAATTTCTAATAAATAAATATTTTTTATTAGAAATTATTTTTATCAACGTATTAATATAGAAGTATAATTTTCGTTCAGTGCTTTCTCTTCATCGCAAAGCGCCGAATGTGCCTAAAGCTGTCACTTCGACAAAATTGGGTCAGGGCATATTTCATACCGCTATATCTTGTGAATGTGTTTTGTGTATTCCTATTTCTATTTAAATTTTTAGGTATAGTATGTTCAATTAAAACAAAAAAAAAAAGAAATTACGTAATGTATTAAGTACTTCCTATCACAGTAGTTTTCAAATTGTACAAAAATAAAAAATAAATGAGCATTCTTATCAAGATACAAACATAAACATCACACGCATTCGACCATGTATAAGCCCTGGTAATGTGGAAAAATAATAATTTGTGTTTTTTTTTAATGACTTTTCTGCGTTTGTATGGCTTAAAATAATTGTTCCGTCACGTGGAACATTTATTTGTAGACCGTACAAACACTTGTTCCGTGCGGGATTCAAAGTACGCTACGGAGCCAAAAACTTTATTTTTGTGACGGCTCAACATTTGGAGAGTTTGGGTTGAGATCTTATGTATTCTTTGTTTTACTCGTTTTTAGGGCTTATATGAAGTCGCTATGCGCCAATATTGTACACATTTTGAAATTCTTAGTTCTTCTCTGGTGGTGGGGGGTGCGCCCTGATGTACTCCAAAGCCCTGAGGATGGCCTCAGGAATTGGTTGTGGTTGAGGCAGATGGGAGCCCTGAAAATAGATAATTTGATTAAGTTTTGCACTGTTATTTGCTTCTTATATTTAAAAATGACGTAAAAATAATGACACATTGTCTCTTTTCATTTGTTAAATTTATCAGATAAAGCCATTTAACAATATGTGCTTTGTGGTTTCAATCATCGTCATCATTACAGCAATTCACAAATCTACTGCTGAATAAAGCCCTCCCATAAAGAATGCCACAAAGCACGGTCCTGCGCCATCTGCGTCCATCGACTTCCTGCAATGTGTTACTAGGTCGTCACGCCATCTAGTAGGGGGACGCGCTACACTTAGCCTGCCGGTACGAGGCCGCCACTCGAGACCCTTTCTTCCCCGTCTGTTGTCGGTTCTTAGAGCTATATGGCGGCACAATGCCACTTCAGCTTACTAATCCGTTGGGCTATGTCGTTACTCTGGTTCTGCTCGATATTCTCATAACGAAATCTATTACGCAGACGAACTCTTCTGTTATCTTAATCAATTCTAGCTGTGCCCCGCGACTTCGCCCGAGTGTTATTTTATTACGAATGGATTTCATGGGTTTTAATTTTTTTTTGTGCGTAACCTAAATTCTTTTTCTAAAATAAAAGGAGCTTAAGTTACTCCTTATAATATCAGCTATCTGCCAGTGAAAGTCCCGTCAATATGGGTACAGCCATTTCGGAGATTCGGAACAAACAGGCAGACAGACAGATAGAATTTTTAAAAATTGTGTTTTTGGTATAAGTACTGTATATACTTTCATATGTATTTTGTAAAAAGCCTTTATTTTGACATACAAACAGATGCTTCAATTTTATTTATTTGTTATTTAATATTTTAAATATTAAAACAACAAGTTTCTATGTGTTAAGATGTATGGAGACGTCAGCATCTTCTCTTTCTCTTTCTCCTTTTTAAAAAAAGGTAATACCCACATTAGGATATTCTACTGTATCGTGGAGGCAGTTTACAAACATAAATTGCACAAGGACAAACATCCAGACACGGAACAATTATTTGTAGGCTATACAAATACTTGTTCCGTGCGGTATTCGAACCCGCGGTCCTCACTGCTAACCCACTGCGCCAAGAAGCTTCGATACTGCACTTTCGTTATTTTAAACTTCTGTCAAAAATTAAAGTTACTTCATATATAAGAAGGGGCAAATGAGCTTGCGGCTCACCTGGTGGTAAGTGAATACCGTCCATGAACAATTGCAACACCAGGGAAATTTCAGGTGCGTGCCTGCCTGGCCTTTTAAAAATAACCGGCCAAGTGCGGGTCGGACTCGCGCTTGAAGGGTTTAGTACCATCGTAATACACGTTTTTAGCAGACAGTTTATTTGTTGCTATAGCGACAACAGAAATACGTATTATGTGAAAATTTCAACTGTCTACCTATTACGGATCATGTGATACAGCCCGCTGACAGACAGACGGACGGACAGTGGAGGCTTAGTAATAGGGTTCCCGTTGGTTACCCTTCGGGTACCTAACTCTTAAATGGTCTTTTCTTAAGGGTCCCTAAGTCATATCGACCCAAAACCACTAGTGACGGCCGTTTCCACGTATAAATTGTGCGAGAAAGAAAACTTCTGGTAAATCGCACCGTGGTATACAGTATTCCAGATGGTATGGATGGTGTCGCGAGTTTTGTCGCGATGTGCGCTGGTGAAATTTACTTCTCCTCCAGTGGAGTAGCGTGCCTTAGAGGGGCCCTAATGAAGGGTAAATATTTTTCACAACAGGAGAATTTTTGCTTACACACGTTCGGGGCCTCTGTAGCCCGGTGGCCCCGTATCATTGATACGGCTGATACGGTGGTAGCTACGCTCGTGCTCTGCTCGCTTTTCCTCCATCCATTCATCATTCCTCCCTTTGTAATAATATACTTTGGCTTTCGTGATGCGTACATCAAAGGAATGAAATAATTTGCCGGTGTCTTTCTCTTTCTTTCTGTCCGAATACAATCTGGGCGTCTTCAAGGCAAGAGTGAATAGGCTTTTGTTACGCTAAGACAGTGCGACTTACCATCTAAGGCTGCATCGCAACCACTTACAACCAGGTGGGCTTGCGGTTCAGCGCTGGCTTATAATAAGTTTATTTTTGAAACCTTAACTCACCTGGGGTTGGTATCCATTTCCGTCAGCGACGTATTGCAGTGAGATTACTTCGCCGTTGGGCGCTGTCCACTTCGCTTCGCCTTGTACGGCTTGTTCAGAGTTTTCCTGTGAAAGTATCAGTAGATATCAAAGTCTAAAACCTAACTGGAAATTTTGACGAAAGTAGATCTTCATATCTGACGTAGATATCAGAACAAAAGACAAAGTCCATTTTAACACGGTAGAGCCATGCTGCAGCTATGTTAGTAGTATAGTTGTAGCACGAATGGGTCGGCTCGACCTAGGAAGGACCACGCTCTCACAGAATACCAGCGTGAAATAGCAGCTTAATGCTGTTGTGTTTCGTATGGTGAGTGTAGAGAACAGAAGACCCTTTTTACTGGTAACGCCAAGATTGAATGCCTCGATTCTATCTTGGTACTCAGGGACGATAACGCATCTGTATTTTGATTCTTAATCGAGGATAGATGCAGATGTCTATGGGCCACAGTATCCACTTACAATCAGGTCTTTAAGTGCGTTTGTCGTCCTTATTCTATTAAAAAAATGTTATGGTCTCATCCTTGTCCTCCAAGGTGCATCAGTAGCTTTATTTGTTACTAGCTGTGCCCGCGGCGTAGCTCGCGAATATAGGTTTTACTTAAAGAATTTGACGTTTAGGGTAAGAGAATATTAACCGATTTATATCATTACTCTATGAATAAGTGGTAACAAAATAAATCGATATTCTCAAAGTTCTAAGTCGTTTATGATAGAGCTTCTGTGTAAACGACGATAGAAGTAGACTTAGCCGGGGCGTACAGAAAAAGGTTACGGGGACTACTAACGCGAGAAAAAGCAATATAGAGCTGGCCATGTGCAAAACAATCAGTACTGACGCGTAAAGTTTGACCTTGCGCTTTATTTACGATCGTCGCATAACACACGCTGAGTGGGAAACACACTTAAAATAGGGATGTTAGATGATCATCGATGTTAATGATTTGAATTCGATGTTTTAACATCGATGTTGACATATGTCAAACATCGAAACATCGACGTCAATGAACCCATAATCGATAATTGGGAACTTGCAAACAATGCGAACTCGCGAAATCAATATCAACTAAATCTTGCATCTGCTCTGAAGATTAAAAATTTTGAATAATTCAGAATTTCTGAACGCATCGTTAATCTAAAAAATGACAGTATGGTGAGACAAACTTAATTGTCAAGTGTCTCCTGTAATGTCACAATGGTCACTGCTTTCGCTTTATTTTGTAGTGTCGTTGTCGGTTGTCGCATAATAACTATTCTACATAAATTGATATTCAAGTTAATTGTTACTTTTCCCTTGCTGTGTATACCCACATAATTTTAAAACAATGTGTAAGTATCTACACATATACAAAAACCATCGATAATGGTCAACATCGATGTTTTGAGTAGCCTAAACATCGAACACCGATGTTGAGCTAGCGATGCCAACATCGATGTTATTATCCCTATCTTAAAACTGAAGCCAACATCGATGTTATTATCCCTATCTTAAAACTGAAGCCTGAGCCGTGGTAGCTCAGATGGTTAGCGCTCGCTGTAAGCTTCACAGTACTCGAGCAACCCGGGTTCGATCCCCGCCGGCACCAATGAAATTGTTAATTGCAATTTTAAGTGCTGATTTACCACGTGCTCGGCGGTGAAGGAAAACATCGTGAGGAAACCTGCATGTTTGAGAAATAAAAAAGAAATATTTCGATGACATGTGAAGTTCGCCAACACGTATTGGGGCAGCGCGGTGGACATTTCCTTGCCCTAAAACACTCTCAGAAATGAGAGGAGGCCTGTGCCCAGCAGTGGGACGTAAATAAGCTGCAACTTTACTTTGCTTTACTTAAAACTAAAAAAAAGTTATTTGGTATTAGAGGGATTCTGGGTTTAAGACAATATCACTATCACGACATTTATTGCAATTTTGCTACTTTTAGTCGAGTTTTGTTGTATAATTAATTATTTCAATACCTCTGTATATATACCTCACAGGCTTGCAGCTTCAGTTGACCTCATGGACATAAATTATTACAGTGAGTCTCAATACGATTCACCTGCGAAAAATCTTAACACCGCAATTCAGAAAAGGTTGTAATTTGTACAACGCCATCTATTACGTTCTTTGTGAGAAAACATCCTTTTTTAATTTAAGGAAAACATATTTTTACTGTGTTTTAAGTACTATAATAGAACGATACGAAATATATTATAATAGAACGTTTTTTTTTTACACACGAATCTTTTTATTACAATTTCTGGGATTTTGTGGCGCCATTGAACAAATTCGAACCTACATTCCAAAATAATAATCATGACTTTCGATAGAATTAACCAATTTCAATAAAACAAAGATTTAATGAACTTGATATTACGCTTTATGATTTTCTTAAGGATTTCATTGAAAAAAAAGATGTTTACTCAAAACGTCATGCGTCCATAAACAAACAGACAGACCGTCAGATAGTACAATTCTAAAAATTCTAAAAATGTACTTTTTTAATGATTTACAGTCCCCATAATGATTTTAGTCGCAAATTAATATACTATACAATATTCAGAAACAGACATAACATGTTATTACCATTTTTATTATATGTATAGATTTAAGAGAGATGGCGCTGTTAACATCAATTCTAAAAATAAGAGATTAATTCACACGATTGATACAATAAAAAACATAAAAGAACTTATAAATCAGTGCCTGCATAGTAAGCAAAAAATAAAGTTTGATCCTCGCCGAAAAACGAAATTGTTAATAGCTCTTAAAATTTGATTTACCACATAGAGTACTCGGCGGTAAATAAATAAAAAATAAATGAGATTGTCAACACGCAGTAGGGCAGCGTGTCATTAATATAAAGGTTAGAAGCAAATATGAAACTCAACTACAGGAATAAATTTTACCCTGCCTTTTTGTATCACATTTATGCCACACCACCATCTATCGATGAAATTGGTTAACTATTGTACTTTAATTTAGTTTAGATAATAAGGTTAATATATTTTGTATATATTTATTACGTTCTTTATGTAATACTTTTGTTTACTGCGTTTTAGATATAATTATATCATTATAGAACATTATTTTACATCATTGAATTATGATTTATAATATGATATTAATTTTAAAATGTACTTGATGACTCATCCAACGCCACTATTGAACAAATTCGTACCTATACTTCAGAATATTTGTCATAACTTTTGATGGAATTAACCAATTTTAATGAAATAAAGACTAAATGTAACCTGAATATTCACTTAATAATTTCCTTAACTATTCTTATGATATAAATTAGTACTTTATACGTGATACGTTAACAAACAAACAGACAGACAGACAGACAGACAGACAGACAGAAAAATCTAAAAATGGTAGAAATGTATTTAATTACTTATTTTTAGTACCTCTCAATCACTTTTATTACAAAAATATAAAATGTACAGACATCTGCTATTTACATTTTTATTATATGTATAGATTTGTTTGGGCTGAAAACTTGTGCGTGAAAAACCGCCGAATTTCATTTTTTTGTAGTAGTTTGGGCGACAAAAGAGTAAACCTGGCCTGCATGTATCCTAATTTATGACGTCATTTGGACTCTTAGTTTACGCCTACCTTTGACGTCATTTGGAGGTGAAATAAAGGTCAATCAATATTAAGTCATAATTTTAATTAATATTTGACCGGTTTAATTATCGCGAATGCAAACTTCTTACCGTCCATCTTAAAAAATTTAACTATCACAACACAGAAATAGTATATATCGATATCCACTAAATATATATTTGATTACTAAATAAAATAACATAAAAATAATAGATATGCTAACAAATTTAGCACCTACAATCATACGTACACATACAATTTATACACTAGGTAATCTAGCTCGGCTTATCTCACTCTAATATATAAAAATGAAAGTTTGTTCGTATTTTATACGCTACCGTAGCGTTCATCAGATTGCGGTAAAACTTTGTCAACTTATTGCTTGTGCAAAGGTTGTAGGCATAGTACAATTAACTTGCAGAATCTATTATCATTTAGAATTAAACCATATGACTGTTCTGAATAGAAAACTATATTTTCACAATAATTTCTTCTGTGGTAGCAACTGCTACCAGCCACCAGCTAGTGTTTAATATTCTGAGGAAGAGCGATGCCTTCTGACACAGTTGTGTTTTATACTTACTAGGAGCCTCTAATTATTTAGTTTATATTTTTTATAGAATAAGGGTGACAAAACAAAAGCACACAGTCCACCTGATGTTAAATGGATTAAGAACCAAAATGCAGATGCGTGTTCACCCTGAGGACTGAGATGGAATGCCTCGTTTCCAGTAAAAAAAGGTCTCCGGTTCTCTACACTCACCGTACGAAACACAGCAGTGTTAAGCTGCTATTTCACGCTGGTATTCTGTGCGAGCGTGGTCCTTCCCCGGTCGAGCCGACCCATTCGTGCTACAACCACAATATAGCTGCAGGATGGCACTACCACGTAAAAAGTATGTCTTGAGAATGAATTAAATACATTTTCATAAGATCTCTAACTAACAAAATAATGAGGTTTTTATAGGCTTATCGATACAACACTCACAGACTGCGGGTTTTTCAGGGTTCCTTGTTCGCTGGCGGAGATGCCGTTCTCAGTTTCATACGCCCACTGGTACTGGCCTTCAAGGCCGATGTCCTGTTCTTGCCTTAGGATCTTGGCGTTGGCTTCTCCATTGCGCGGCACGATGTGGGACACATCGGCCGACGCGTACGCCACCAGGAGGGTGATGATAAGGAGTTTCTGGGGGAATGATAACTTATAAATGAGTGTTTCCATCCATTACGGCCTATAAATGTCCACTGTTGAACATGGGTCTTCCCCATAGATTTTTGATTTGATTTTTTTTTAAACGTTACCCCCACACCAGGATTTTCTCCTGTATCGTGGAGGCAGTTTACAAACAAATTGCACAAGGACAAACATCCAGACCCGGAACAATTATTTGTAGGCCATACAAATACTTGTTCCGTGCGGGATTCGAACCCGCGCCCCCCAGCGCAGCATCTCATTGCTAAGCCACTGCGCCACGGAGCCGTCAAATACTCATAGGAGGATGGGGAGTGGGGGGGGGGGGGGGTGGATTTAGGCAACACAAATATTTATATTAGCATTTGAACCCATTTATATAGAAACCCTAGATGGAGTGACGATCTGGTAAGACATGCAGGAAGTCGATGGATGCAGGTGACTCAGGACCGTGCTTTGTGGCATTCCTTGGGAGAGACCTATGTTCATCAGTGGACCTAAATTACGTACGCATATTGCATTCACTCGCGGATATAGCGTGCTCATTGGTATATATAACCGATTTCAACTGAATGTATTTTACACAAAAATAATTATAGTTTTGCGTACAAAATAATTATACAACGGAATTAACGGTTTGGCGACCGACGCCGCGGGGCGTTGTTATGCCGAGACGGATATTTCGTAAGGCGAGGTTACGAAACCGGCTGGAAGATGATATGTAATTTCGTTGTGGGGTACACAATGCATAGACGGAGCGGGTAGCGGGTAGAGGGTAGACAGTTGCTAAATATGTACCGAACTATATACCATTCATTACAGCCTATAAAAGGTCCACTGCTGAACATAGGCTTCCCCTTTAGATTGCCTCATAAGAGCCATATTTGCCATAGTTCACCTCTCAGCGGGTCATGTGCTCCTGGTAGATTATCTTCTATACATACATCCATTACAGCCTTTTTTTAAATACTAGTAATGCTATTAAACATTACTAATTATTCCCTTTAACCACTTCTGGTAAGTTTAAAATGCTCGATGTTCACGACAGTAGTCGAATGACGGATTCGAACCCACGATCTTTCGAGTTCGCGGTCCGCGACCTGCTATTAAGCTACTGACGCTTTTAAAGTCCACTGCTGAACATAGGCCACCCCAGATTGCCTCATAGGGTAGGATATTTGCCATAGTACACCTCGTAGTGTGTTATGTGCTCCTGGTAGATTATCTTCTATACATCCATCCATTACAGCCTATTAAAAGTTCACAGCTGAACATAGGCTTCCCCTTTAGATTGCCTCATGGGGGGGGGGGGGGGGAGGGGGGGGTATTTGCCATAGTTTCCACGCTTGGCAGGTGGGTTGGCAACTGTAGTTTTTGTGAGTTGTTTTCAGGAAGATGCCGCTGCCCATCAGGCAGTTTCAGTTTGCATTTGTCGCCTCTTACGATACCCACGGGATATGGGGTTTATTTTATATTATTTATCATTTTTTATATTTATACAACCCACTTAGATGAGTATACTATATTAAATACCCAATAATAACAATAATATTTTATATATTGAATTAATACGGATTTTATCGCGTTTAATTTTATACTTATTTTTAATTCCCGACGTTTCGGTTGCGTAAAATTAGTTTTATTCAATATGTAGTGTTCGCGTAAATATAAGTAACTCTATCTATAAATATTTTATATATTTATAGATAGAGACATAAATATTATACAAAAACAAGTAGCTATATTATATACACAACATTCAGAATATTTATAAATATAGGTGCCATTTTTCCTGAGAAAGTTAGGCGGAGTTTCTATTAAATCTACGAGAAGATCGAAAAATAAAGATTTCCGCTTCGCCCATCACAGTATGCTTTTTCCGTTTTAAAAATGGCAGTAGGGAATGTCAGCTCGTGACCCCTGACCGTTCAGCAATCTATCAATTATCAACCGGTAATGCCGATCTCGTATTGAACTTAACAAGCGGACCCTTATGGTCAGTTATACGGGTCCGGGTTTCGAATTCTAGCCGGAAGCAAAAATTATTCGAAACGCACTCAGCACGTAAAAGTCAAGTTTTTTTCAGGAGCACAGTCCACCTGATGGGTAAATGAATACTGTGTCCTATATAGACATTTATTCTCTTTCATTTTTTTCAAGTTCATTGCACTGCCCTATAGCTAGTTAGGGGCTATTCATTAATTACGTAAGGAGAATTTGGAATTTTTGACCCTTCCCCCCAAGATAACGGCATGTAGAGATTTTTTTAAAACGAAAACGAATTGTTGATCGAAAAAAGGGCGGTAAAGTGTTTTTTCTTTTTATTTTTCTTTTTCTTTTTCTTAATGCCCTATATGTATAGACGTCCAGACCAGCCAGATACAAACAGTACAAGCAAAGAGATGTTACAAACAAAATACGCAGAAACTTTTCCCGACCGATATTATGCAATCAAAAAATTTCATAGTGTCGTAATCAGGATTCGAGACAGAGAGACAAGGCTACATCGGTTAAAAGTATTTAACTGAATTAAGAATATATAATTTAAAATTAAAAATTTTGTACAGCCGACTTCAATATAAGTTACTAAGAATAACTCAAAAACTATTGTCAAATTCATATGGGACCACACGAGAACTACCAGCTTTCAAATAAAAAAAGAATTATCGAAATCGGTCCACCCAGTCAAAAGTTATGAGGTAACACACATAAAAAAAAAACAAAAAGAAATACATTCGAATTGAGTACCGTCTCCTTTTTGGAAGTCGGCAGAAAAATAGAAAATATTTTGGACCGTATTCAGTTTAATAAAATGGAAAACCGACGCAATTAAGGGCGGAATTTCTAATTGTTATAAAACGTATTTATACAATAAATTTTTATATATAAAAATTACGTGTCACATTGTTAGTCCGCGATGAACTCCTAAACTACTGAACTGATTTCAATGAAATTTTGCACACTGTGTGCAGTTTGGTCCAACTTGAGAGATACGGTAGTTTTTATTCCGATAAGTGACACTCAATATTTTATATTATGAATTTTAGGATTTTATATGGGGAAAAGAGTCATCGGAGAGGGCAGATGCCTGGTCAACTAGTTCAATATAAACAAATTAAAAGTTACCAGTGTATGAATAAAATTAGTTTAGTTGTGTTACTTTTATATTCGGCCAGGCTATAATTTATTTGAAACAAAACTCATTTGACGATTCATTATCATCATCAAATCAGACCTTAAATATGTATGTACATAACAATAAATCGAATTACTATTCCATCCGTCCATTACAACATATATAAGTCCAATACTGAACAAAGGCTTCATAGGGGGATTTTGCCATCGCCACAGAATAAATAATAGTACTACGTCATATCTGTAATGTTACTGTTGATTTAATAATTTCACCTCTCAGTGGGCCATGTGCTCCTGGTAGATTATCTTTTATACATCCATACATTATATAAAAAGTCCACTGCTGAACATAATTCGAATTACTTAACTCATTGTTAAAACATTCATTTTGCATTCACTACTTGAAACCTCTTATATAAACCAATACGTGATTATTGCAATCGTAATGAAGATTTTTGAGAAAGCTTTTAAAGAATGTGTTAGTGATGTACAATTTCAAAACATTGCTTTTAATATATCGATATTTATAAGGGTCAGAAAAAACATATTTTATATCTATATATTTTGATATAGTATACATTTAATATGGTAAAATCAGATTAATTAAAGAAATTACATTACTCTTTAAATAGGTAATTGATTTAAAATCGCGAGGAATTTTTAAAGATGTGGTGCTTTAAGGTTCTTTTTTGTATAAATCACTGTATCATTTTTAATTTTATTGTGCAATTTATTACTTAACTCTAAAATTGAATAAAAAGTTATGACTTTGATATTGATTATTATATAATATTAAAACCTAGTATCGTTAATATCGAGACGTTGAGAGTACGTTACTATTTTTATGCGAATACTAAAATTTGTGTAAAATTTGATCTAGCGATGTATTGAGTTTAATTTTAACTTATATCTCGAGTGAATCCTGGGAGACAATAATAACAGTTGAAAAACATTTTTAATAATTATAAATGAATAAAATACTATTTAGTTATATTTTTATTATATAGTTTCCAATAACGTTTAAAAAATAATTGTTTCGATAATTAATAGAATCAGGCGTTTTTTTTTTGCGATTAAACATCTTTAATCTTTCGATAATTAACTCCACGCATATGTTTTGATAACGCAAAATAGCCAATTACTACACTGACGTTCCTATCACACCTTTGTTAAAAATAATGTTACTTAACATCACATTCAGGCAATGATTCCACATAACATGTTAATGAACCACATTGGAAAACTAAAAAAAATCTAGTTAGTTGTTAGTGAAGAAAGAAAATCACTGTGAATATTAAAATATCGATAACACACTCGCACAACACTATCGACTCACCATTTTGCGATAAGGGTAGCGTTCACTAGAGCCAACTATGCGCAACTGTACAGAATGATGTCCTCAACTCCATATATATATGTTGGCGATGCGCCGCGAAGGTTACTAGAGAGATCCCGCCTCGTGCAAGCGCATGTTTAAGAAGCTTACGAGAAACTTGAATTATCTTAGCTTTTATAATTCAGTACTGAAAAGGTCTATATTATAAGGTTGTAATGGTAGAAAAAGAAACTTTTTAAATACAATATAGACACCGTTACCGTTACAGCATTTTAAGTCCACTGCTGAACATAGGCCTCCCCCATAGATTGCCTCAAACGGGGGATTTGGCCATAGTTGTAATTATGTTGTTTTAATAATTTCACCTCTCAGTGGGTCATGTGCTCCTGGTAGATTATCTTCTAATACTGGATGTATCCATTACAGGATTACAGCCATTACAGCCTCCCCCATAGGTTGCGTCATAAGGGGGATAGTTGTCATAGTTGTAATGTTACTGTTGATTCAATAATTTCATCTCTCGGTGGGTCATGTGCTCCTGGTAGATTCATCTTCTAAACATCCATCCATCATAATTGCTTCGCCAAAAACTACGGATTTTTTATTTTTATTTGTTATTAAGAAGTCTCTGCTGCCCAACTCCTGATTTGTTTCCCTCTGTCGCCTCTTACGACACCCACGTGTCGATATGGGCTAGTGGACATTCTTACACTAAAACTACACGGTGATATAGATCCATATATAATACATATTTAAAATCACTCTTGTATAATTTAATGATTCGAAAAATACCTCTGTCCTGGGAGGAACCAGCAAGAAACCCAGCTGAACTTTATTTTTAAAAAGAACAGTTTACAATCACAATCAAATTTAACGTGGTAGAGCCATGCTGCAGTTATATTAGTAGTATAGTTGTAGTACGAATGGGTCGGCTCGACCGGGGAAGGACCACGCTCTCACAGAATACCAGCGTAAAATAGCAGCTTAACGCTGCTGTGTTTCGTATGGTGAGTGTAGAGAACCGGAGACCCTTTTTACTGGAAAAGGGGCATTCCATCTTAGTTCTCACGGGTGACAACGCATCTGCATTTTGATTCGCAAACGAGGATAAATGTAGATGTCTATGGGCCACAGTAACCACTTACCATCAGGTGGACTGTGTGCTGGTTTGTCACCCAATCCTATAAAAAAAAATATATATACTTATATATTATTATGTTACACAATGAATACCAACACAAAACAAATTAGAAATGGTAACGAATCTTGGTAGCGATTACCTCATTCCCAGGGGTTATTATCATCCATAAATTGTATAAATGACATTTTGTATACAATCTTTGTTTAATAAAGTTTTTGAACGTTACGGAGATCAATGTTGTATATTTTCTGGGATTTTATTGTAAAGGCGTATACATCGCCCCAAGAATGAATTACTGACTCGGTGGAGTCGCGACTTGAAGAAAGGAGGAGGTTCTCAATTCGACTATATTTTTTATGTGTTACCTCAGAACTTTTTTCTAGGTTAACCGATTTCGATGATTCTTTTTTATTATTTGAAAGCTGGTGCTTCGCATGTGGTCCCATGTAAATTTGATCAAGATCTGACCAGTAGTTTTTGAGTTATCGTTAATAATGCGTATTTAATTCACTTCTACAACATTGATGATGTTCTCATTTTATTTATATTGAACACGGTTGTACAAACATTTTAATCTATTAATTTCCTTATATTTTTATCTGAGTGTCGCTTTAGGTTTTAAATCGTAGATTCCTTTTATGGTCCTCTTTTTTTTTATAGGATAAGGGTGACAAACGAGCACACAGTCCACCTGATGGTAAGTGGTTGCTGCGGCCCATAGACATCTACATCTATCCTCTGTTACAAATCAAAATGTAGATGCGTTGTCACCCGTGAGGACTAAGATGGAATGCCTCATTTCCAGTAAAAAGGGCCTCCGGCCACCTGCACTCACCAAGCGAAACGCAGAGATAAACCTTTACTTCACGCAGAGGTAAACTATTTTTCTGTGAGGTCGTGGTACTACCCCGGTTCGGGCCGGCCCATCCGTGCGACAGCAAAAGCTGCCGCGTGGCTCTACCACTGCTCCTCTTTCTTATTTGTGGACATACGGCATTGGATGGCCCCGTGGTGCATTGGCTTAGCAATGTGTTGCATCCGTAAGGACCGCGGGTTCGAAACCCGCACGGAACAAGTATTTGTATGGCCTACAAATAATTGTACCGGATCTGGATGTTTGTCCTTGTGCAATTTGTGTTTGTGGAGTGCCTCTACAATACAGTAGAATAACCTAGTATGGGGGTGGTTGTAAAGATTTTTTTTTTAATTAAGAATAAACTATAAACAAAACTGCATTTCTCGAAGTGCGTGTGACGATCCTTGTACTGTCAAATCGACTTTGACTGTCTCGTTGGTCTCGTGGTCATAACCGCGATTGCTGATGTGGTGGTTCCGGGTTAGAATCTTGTGTCGGGCCAAAATTAGTTGTTGGACTTTTCTTTCGAGGATATCCGAGTAGGAGTCAGGAAGTTGGCGGTGTATTCCTTGTGACTCGGAAAACACGTAAAACCGTTGGCCCTGCGCCTGATCTCTCTCCGGTCGTGTCGGTTTACCGCCCCATCGGACTATGAGAGAGAGGGAATAGAGAGTGCACCTGTGCTTGTGCATACACTTGGGCACTATAATCATGTCCTGCGCAAATGGCTTGTCTCCATAGGGGATACCTTTACCTGTAGCCTCTAATTAAACTGCTCTTGTAATGTTTCGGGTAACTTTTTGCAGTGTACAATAAAATATATCACCAACGCTGTTTCTTCTGCATATCAATGATATGTTGCTAACTGGTAACATTCATTGCTATGCGGATGGCAGCACTGGTGATGCTCTATACACCGACCGTGCCAATATTTCTCGGGAAAACGTCGCTGAGTACCGGAACAAACTTGTGTCTGAAGTCGAGTCTTTGCTGAACAAAGTCTCGGATTGGGGGCGACTAAATCTAGTCCAATTTAATCCTCAGAAGACACAAGTTTGCGCGTTTACCGCTAAAAAGAACCCCTTTGTCGTATCTCCTCAGTTTCAAGGCACTCCCCTTCTTGCCTCAGCCAGTATCGGTATCCTCGGAGTCGACATATCGAGTGACGTGCAGTTTCGTGGTCACTTGGAAGGGAAGGCCAAATTGGCCTCTAAAAAGCTTGGCGTGCTCAGCAGAGCGGGACAGTATTTCATGCCGGCACACCGCCTGCTACTTTACAAGGCGCAAGTTCGGCCTCACAAGGAATACTGTTCCCATCTCTGGGCAGGGGCTCCCCAGTGCCAGCTCCTTCCACTTGACCGCATCCAACGCAGAGCGGCTCGAATTGTCGACGACCGAGCCCTTTCCGATCGGCTCGATTCATTGGCACTGCGAAGAGATGATGCATCCCTTTGCATTTTCTTTCGCATCTACCATGGGGAGTGCTCTGAGGAATTGTTCGGATTAATCCCAGCCGCCAAATTTCACGAACGCACATCGCGGCAGAACTCCCGATACCATCCACACCATCTGGATGATTGGCGGTCCACCACTGTGCGATTTAGAAGATGTTTTCTTCCTCGCACGACCTCCTTGTGGAATCGATTACCATCAGCGATTTTTCCGGACCGATACGACTTAGGGACCTTCAAGAAAAGAGCGTACTCCTTTTTAAAAGGCTGGCAACGCATCTGCGATTCCCCTGGTGTTGCAGTTGTTCATGGGCGGCGGTAGTCACTTACCATCAGGTGAGCCGCATGCTCGTTTGCACCCTCTCCTATAAAAAAAAAATAATATACATACATTCATTTATTCAACTCAAACTAGAGATATTTAATGAGAATATTCTGAAAGTTGAACATATGTATGTCTTAGTACTAGCGATCGGCCCCGGCTTCGCACGGGTGATTTCTGGACATCGACAACAGCGCCACCAATTGTGAATCTAAATTCTAAACCATTATCTAATCAACTTAATCACACACGCACACACACACACACACACAAAATTTCATCAAAATCGGTCCAGCCGTTTAGGAGTTCAGTCACATACACATGAACAGAAGAATTATGTAATATATAATATGCATATATTCTACATATAAACCTTCTTCTTGAATCATTCTGTCGATTGATGAAAACCGCATCAAAATCCGTTGCGTAGTTTAAAAGACCTAAGCGTACAGACGGTGGGAAGCGACTTTGTTTAATACTATGCAGAGAAGAGATGTAGAGATAGAGATAGTTGTATCATGAATCGGTCGGTCACTATTCACCACCAGGTCTTTGAACGGCTGACTCTGAATTGGTCAACCCTACTACTTACTTAATTTTTCTGCCGACTTCCAAAAAGGAGACGGTACTCAATTGGACTGTATTTTTTTTATAGTTTTTTTTTACGTGTGTTACCTCATAACTTTTTACTGGATGAACCGATTTCGATGATTCTTTTTTTATATGAAAGCTCATTTTTACCTGATACTCGTACATCTCGTGTGGTCCCATATGAATTTGATGACACAAGGTCAGACCAATAGATTTTGAGTTATGTCATATGTTAAAATGCAGACGCGTTGTCACCCCTGAGAACTGAGATGGAATGCCTCGTTTCCAGTAAAGAATGGTCTTCGGTTCTCTACACTCACCACACGAAACACAGCAACATTAAGCTGCTATTTTACGCTGGTATTCTGTGAGAGCGTGGTACTTCCCCGGTCAAGCCGACCCATTCGTGCTACAACCATAAACAGCGAGCCTGTATCACGTGTAAAAGCCTGGTAAATCAGCAAAAGTACGTCGTCGTCTTAATAATTTAAAATCTTGGACAGCCTTTCCGTATATGGCAACACTGGTTACTGTGGATTTCGCCCCCGGGCTCGAAGATGTACTACTACTTGCGCACAGTGACCTCGTTGACTATTGCAACACTGTGAAGTAATTATTACAGAATTGACGGTTTACGTTAAGAGTTATAGTGTCTGTCTGTTTGTATCTATTAAACGATTTTAA